AGTTCCTGATTTTGCTCGAATGAGGGCAAAGGGGACGTTATGGTGCGAGATAGAGCAGAGTTCAATGAGAGTCGACCCTCCATTGTGCCGTACCAGAAATGAAGACGGAATGAATAAGCATCGTCATGTCACTTGACACTCAGAAGGGTTTTCGTATTCGGTGAAGTGGTTCTGTAGCAATATGTGCTTCTCTCTCACCACCCCCTCCCCCTGTTCCCACCCCGACTCGACAGGCTTTCTAGCCGGAAGTGTGCAGAAAAGTGTCAGTTCCAAAGTTATACGAAGAAAGCCTGATCTTGCATTCGATCCCAAGTGCTCGCCGAGTGGGGGTGCATGACTAACTGATAAAAGAAGAATGTTAGAAAACTGCCCATGATCACTCCATCCGTTGCTTGAATCGCAAACTCGGCAGGCATACTCATATCCCACAAGCGCTGATTGATGTCTTTTAAGAAGTGTCACCTGGTTCGCGTGAATAGCTGCTATGCTCTTAAGCTGGGTGGCCGAAGTCGAGGATTCTATGACAAGAGATTGTATTTTACCTTCTGATTAATGGGAGGGGTACATATTTGATGCAAATGGCTGCGTAGTCTCATGTAAGGATTTTCGGGAGATCCGTAAGAACTTATAAGAGTTTATCAAGCTTTGAGTTTTCATAAGTTTCAAAATCATTACGAAACTTTGCTTGTGTTATTTCTAATCAACGTAGAATTGAAGGAGCATGGGGTTAGGACCTGCAGAGGGAGTTAGGGAGGAGGAGTCGTGGGGCTCAATGTGTGCAAAATGTCAATACAAAATTGCAAACTCCAACTAGGTTTGGCCTTGATTATATGTAGTGGGCAAAGGGTGGTCGTAGTAATCTGCCTAGAATACCGCATAGGCTAAACGCGTGGCTCATTCTGATTTGAATAAACGATGAAATAGTGACCTTTTCGCGATCGAAGCCTCGAAGGTTGCCCTTCCTTTCCTGAATTCTGTTTGAAACCGATGGAAAAGGGTTCTGCGCAATCTTACTTTCTACGCTTTCCCAAGTGGGAACCCCGATTCGAGTGCAACGTCTGTTCATATTTTAATTTGCTCTTAGAAAGAGTAACGGCGAAAACAAGTATCCATAAAGTCTAATTGGAATTCATATTCTGTGAGAGAAAACTCACAAGTGAAATCATCAAAACGAACAAAAAAAACACCAATCATTTGAAAAGAAGCTTCGGCAAAATTCGATGAAGGCTTTTCCACAATCCTCAACTTCACCTTTGATAGACTGTTTCTGATCCGGGACGAAGATCTACCTTCTGAGTAGATCTCTATGGGATTATCAACGGATGAAAGGACTGAGGAATATCCTGTAATGTTTTCACTAATGGATATCTCAGTTGATCAAAACAACAGTTGCATAATGCAACCAAGGCGAATTTCTCACTTTACCCCCTGAAATTAGCGCTCACATGCAATACTTCTACATATAGTTTTCCAATGGCCCTCTCCTCGTGCTGGTTTCATTCAGGGAGAGCTGCCCTGATATGTGGCGAGATAATGTAAAAAGCAGGGGTGATGGAAACAACAGGTGAGAGGGAATGTTCTGATGGAAGTGTTCTTGCGTGACTTTTCAACTTTCTACATCTGATGTGATAAGCTCCTTTTTGCGCGCCACGCATTAACCAGGCTCCAGAATCGTGGCAAACTTTGCGTGCATATCTGGTTCACAGGCACGTGCTGCGGAGGTTGGATAACGTACAGTTCAGAGTTCCAGGCTCCTAGAAAGGAGCACAGATATTGTTGTCCTTGTCGGGTACCGATCCAAGATCAGAACCAGGGGTGTGGTAGCGTCGCCACTTGCCGCCATACCAACTCCGTTATGACCACCAACATTTACGAACGTGTGAATAGTCTGACTTCATTCTTCTTAGAACTCACGATCAGTGAGAAGCTGTCCACTCAAGAGGGCTATGTAAAAAAATTGGGTCTGATGTTCCCCTGTTAAGGCCTTTATTTCTGGTCGGTTGTTACCGTAAATTGGACCTCGTCTGTGATTGATTTACCACGTGTTTTTCTCCGCTGTACTGCGTGAGTAAGATGGGTTGTTTTCCACACAAAATCTACATTAGTCCTTTATCGTATCTCCTCAGACAGCGGTAAGTGATCGGACTAATGTTGATGAAAACTGCTGCTTCCTGAGTCTCCTGGAGGGATGGATGTTTGCCATGCTAGTGTCAGCTTATCAACACATAGGACTTGATGGCTTTATCGGCCTTAGTGATGCTGCTTGAAGAATAAAGACTAAGTAATCGAACCTATGAAAATGCTGAAACTTGGTGCATGGCGCACGCTTGACCATCCATTTCAGAATCGTGGTGCTTTCCAAGGCCACACTGGCCCAGCCGACGGCCGGAATTGGGAACTCCATTCGATGGGTCATTTATAAATGATGATATTCTAGATGGATCAAGGGCTCGGTGTGATCAGATGGGATCCTATGTATGGGTCATACGATTAGCAGCAGCGCCTCAGTCCCAGTACCGTCAGCAAAATCTCATTCGCCACCTTGGAGGTGTTTTTCGGTGCCGTTCTTCAATAGGAATAAATCGAAGTTTCTCTGTTGTAGGTCTGGTTTATCGCTTGATTCACTCTAAGCAGCTTTCTCGTTGAATCAAACATCAACTATTCTTCCAAGTAACTCACAGAGTTATTGATGTTTGGTGCTCCACGACAAAATAGCTACAAATAGGCGCAAAGAGAAATTATGACTTCACAAAAGATTTTCTCATGAGTAAGCCACGATCATTTTGTACGTTGCGTAGAGCTGTGTAAATGCATGCAGCTCATTCATAATTCCGGGCCACCTTCTATTGCGGATGCGCAAAAAAAAAAGCAAAATCTGGTTTCGCACTCAAACAGATTATGTCATAGCTATACAGAACGAAATGGAGGAGATTTAAGAAAAATTGGGATATAAGGAAGGGACACGTGGAAAAGTGACTCACAAAATGTTTCGCTGTAAGTTTCACATTCCATTTTAAAGGGAACTTGCAAAGGATGAAGGGCATCGAAGACCTTATCCAGAATCAGTTCGAGATTGGATCCCTACCATTGTTGTGCCGAAGGCAATGCGTTACTGTCGCTGCTCCCCTTTTCACCCGGTCAAAGATTCTGATCACGACAATCAGTTGTTATCAATCAAACGCGTGGCGCACTTGGAGAAATTTGTTTTTGCATGGAATCTTTTGAACAAACTTTCGTTTGGTTTTTGTTTGTTGAAGCCACCTTCTGCCTTTCAGAAGCGCTAATCTTTGCTTCAGGAGAAGCTTTGTCCTTCTTCTTGTGTGCCAGTTTCTCTCGTCACTTTTCCCAGGAACAATTCCCTCGACAACGTTGCCAATGGCAACTCGTCCTTGTCGAGTTATCATGGCAATCCCGTAGAAGCCCCTATCACATGGCAGCACGACATAATCAGCACCACATTCGAGGAAGCCGATTTTGTGTGAGCCGCCGGCATCCGCCATGAGGGCAGACCAGCTGAAAAGAGGGAGAGGACTGCGAATGCGAGAATTTACGAGAACTAATATTCCATTCATCAGCGCCAAGTCGAGCCACAGTGCTCTTCGACACCGGGTCGTACCTTCTTGGCTTTCTGAGAGAGGTCCCTATAACGACTCTTCGAAGAGAATACATAACAGGGGGCTCACCTAAGTCAGCACATTTAAAAATTTACGGTAGAGCTTGCAACTCTTCAACTTAAGGAGGGCAGATACATTATAGCTTCCTTTTTTGACTATGGTGCGATAACGCCATGCACTTTGCTTTCATCCGAAAAAAAACAGAACATGAGCAGTCATCAATTTCAAATTTCGTCAAAACGGATGAACCGTTCCTATCTAGCCATGCAGCGCTCATTGTGATCATCTGGATTGGAAGTAAGAGCGATAGGCCAAATTGATTAATGATTGGAACGAAATGGCTACGAGACTGGGTAATAATTATGTTAGTACGATGTATTGATTGGCGCACGAACGGCTAAACAAAAGGGTTCAATTATGTTCGATTCATGGCCAAATCAAGTACTAGAAATTTCAGCAGTACAGTAAATTGAATATTGTAATCATTTAATTAGACAACAAAGTCTAATGGAAATATCACCGTGGCTCTAACAATCAATTTCAAATCCTTTGATAAGAAATGAATAAATATTTATTATATTTATGTTATTATAGATCTTTATTTTCATTCAATTAGATCTTAGAGTTTCTCGAGAAGGCCCAAAGTTTCCAAATACTTAGATTGATATACTGTCAGACACAAAAATGTAATCAAATGCCAAAATTTTTTTGCTTTTCAGTTCGAAGCCACGTTGGCACGATTTCGACGGCGTTACTGCGTGAACTCGTCCGTGTATTGTGACTTTCGACGACTTGGTGGCGTTGATCTCAGAAGGCACATCGAGTGGAATCGCGTCGCAGCGAGAACGATTCGACTATCTCGGCTCGTTGTTCTTCTCCGGCACGGTGATCTCAACAATCGGTGAGTTTACATATTTTCTTGAAACTGGACGAGCTGCACCTTTCCGAATGTTTATTGAACGGCGCACAGGTTTATTTTAGTGACGTGGCCTATTGTAGTACTTTGCGTACAAATCATTTGGGTAGTGATATAGCACTTCCTATAGTGCTTATTTACAGTGTGACTTGAAAAAGATTTGACAGCTAATTGATCGATTAGTGCGCCATAAGCTCCACGCATGAGAAGGGATCTGTTCTCGGTTGTTTTTAAGAATTTACCCTATTTTCCGGTGTATAAGCCCGCGCTAGTATCATGTAAAAACACCTCCACTGGTGCAGTGTACTTGAGTACATCTAGAGTCAACCGTAACATGCCCATAGGGGTAATTCGATATGCTGATCACGAAAACGACATTCGTTTAGCGCAGTTGGCGCCACCTTGTCACGACCCTTGTTTTCGCCAAAATCGGTGTAAACTTCAGTATAGGGGTTATTTGGGACCCTGATTACGAATATGACATTCGTTTTTGGCGTTAACGTTGTTTAGTGCACATGTCTCGGTTGGAGAGCGCAGACGAGCAGAAAATAGGCGTCAAACAGCGCCAGCGCCTATAATGAATGTCATATTCGTAATCAGGGTCCCAAATAACCCCTATACTGAAGTTTACACCGAAATTTGGCGAAAACAAGGGTCGTGACAAGGTGGCGCCAACTGGCGCCAGATGGCGCCAGCGCTGAAAATGAAAGTCATTTTCGTGATCAGGGCATCGACTTACCTCTATAGGCAAATTTGCGGTGGTTTCTAAGGTGTACAAAGTTACACTGCACGAGCGGGGGTGGTTTTACGTGAAATCGGCGCGGGCTTATACACCGGAAATTAGGGTAATTGTTCGTGCAAAGCGGGGCACTATTTTTAAGAGCAGAAAAATACCAGTCTCAATATATATAATTATTGACACTTGTTTACTGATAAATTACACTGCAGTTGCGTTAGTATAATCTTTTGAATATTATTAGCTCGTGCATGATCAGACGGTAAAAAAACTTACGGAGATGTCACCCATAGCGGAGGTTCTCTTAGTGGTTTGATTGCTTGTTTTGTTCGCATTTCTAGAGATCTTTGAGACATCTCATAATTTTCGTAGGGAAAAAATAGAAAGGAAATGGAGAGCAAAATTGGAAGAAGCATTGGTAAAAAATTTACACCGCATAGCGTTTAGTTTTGAATAATTTGTAACATGGACGTTGGCTGCGCACGGTGTTCCCGTTAGAATTGCTTTGCGTGCCCTGCTATCGTGTGACGCAACATGGATCTCCTGACATGAACTGTGCCTGTTTCAAATATCGGCGATAAGTTTGCGGTGTTTGGGAGTGTGGGGGGGGTAGTTGATCACTTACCTGTACCTTCATGTTAGTTGTGTTCAACCTGGTCATTCAGATTACTTTCCGGGAATTTGACCCCAATAGCAGTACCAGTTTAGAAAAATCTAGGATGCAGCACTCATAGGTCTTCAGATCAGGTCGCTTGATCTCACGATTATTAGAATAAATCTAAGATCAGACTTCAATAGGTTCCTTCAATCAGAATCGCTGTTCTCAGATTTTTCGCGTGGAAGACCTGCTCAGAAATGGCTACACGGCTTTTAATCGTCATTTTTCAGAACGCTGAAGGTGACCCTTATCTTCATTTTCCCTCTTCCTTTTCTTGTCTTTCTATCTATCTGCAGTGCTAGGCGTTCAAATCTGAGTAGTCGTGGTTTCTGAACTCAAATTGAGTCTACCGGTATGAATCAGCACTGACTTATGCTCTTATTGCTGGTTTGAGCTGTATGCGTCAGCAGTAATTGTGGGCTTAGGTCAGCATCGAGACTTAAGAACGACTCGATCAAAAATCAAATCACCCTACCGTGCCTTCTAATGGGACGGGTATCATTGCCATATACTTGCACCAATGAACCACGTCACAAATATTTTGAAATATATACACATGGGTGAAACAGTATCTAACATCTCCCATCCACTTCAGGCAACCTCGAATCTCGGTCACTGTTGTGTTCGCATTCTATAAGAAAAAAATTGTGACTGGTCCCTCCCAGGGGGCTCTTGATCCAACCCCCCATCACCATCAGCCTCGAGAAAATCCTAGTTTCGCTGTCTTGCGTGTCTTTTATAAAATTTTTGCCGAACCCGTCAGTAAACCCGCCTAGACGACTTCTCTCCCGCACAGCAATCCCTTCAACTTCCATGGATACGACCCCCTTTCCATCTTTTCGAGAGATAATTAACCATACTCTACCATTATGCCGTTCCCCTCCCCCAAAAACCACAATGCACCTGTCGCATAATTTCTAACGCGACGGATGACCCTGATCACAATTCGCCGTATCGGGAATCACTAACATAAGACGAATCTGCCAAATGATATATCTTCAATGGAAGTCGAGAGAAAGCTTGTAGTCACTGGGAAGGCTGATTCTGCCCAAGTTGCGAAGATTATAGAGCCGACATTATTCTTAGAAGATTTAGCATCTCTGCTCATGTTGTCAATTGGCTTGAGTGAAAAGTTAAAGTTCTCCTAAGAAAAATCCAAAAAATTGTTTTCTTGAAGCTGGAGGCGTTGCGAAAAATTCGGATGAAGCAAAACTGTTTTGGGAACCGGGGATTGGATTTATAATACATTCACACCATTATCAGTGAGTATTTTGTCAATTTTTCTCTATTCCTTTCATTGCTTTGTCAAAAAACAGGTACATCTTCAGTTATATGTAGCCCAAGGGACTCCGTGTCTTATTGTCAATCGCATTCGTGAATTCCGAGTGTATGCCAATAGGTCACCAGTACCGCGCCGCTTACGTCGTGTACGCCGCGCCCAGGCAAGGTGGCCGGTTCAAGGTGTTTCAGCATCACTGTTGTTATTCAGTGGATGCGCCACAGTACGCACCTGGACCACGGCGGAAAGGGCAGTACATTCGAGCTGCATTCCATCAGCGGGGATTTTTCTCGAATGAATTGTCGCGCAAGAGTGCCGCGCACAGCACGCCACAAACGTAAGCGTTTCGGTAGAAGGGACTTAATGGCACACGCCTTCAAGGTGAATCCAACCGATCGCACGCAAGAAGAGTGAGGCTCTCTCTAGCGACGTGCCTTAAAGCCCCACCCTTCAAGCATCTATTTTCTCCTCACCTCCTTATCCTCTTTGCCTTTTGTTCTTATCAGAACAAATGGCACAATCGGCTTAGAAGATTTTCGCGTCCATTAGCGTTATTGGAAAGGATGCCCTCGTGAAATAAACAAGCTCTGAAGTACGCGAAAATCCAATGGTCCATTTTTGGTACGACCTGGTGATGTCATTTTTGCAGGGTTTGGTTCATCCACGCCGCGAACGGATGCTGGACGAGTTCTCACGATCCTCTACGGTGTGGTCGGCTGCACGAGTTGTGTGTTGTTCTTCAATCTGTTCCTAGAACGATTCGTCACCGCTCTTTCGTATTTGTTGAGGTTGGCCGAATATCGATTGATGAGAAAGAGCGCAGACGTGCAGGATATTTATTGATTGACGCGATTCATTTTCAGATATTTCCATGAACGAAAAATACAACGACGAATGATGAAGAACAGTAGTATGAATAAACCAGTGACGTTACTAATCAATAACGAGGATTACTGCGAATCTGCGAGGTTGGCATCATACTGTTGTCTAATCAATCAATAAAATATTAAAAATCGATCGTAATTTTCCAGCTCGTGCGAAGGTGCGATGGATTCGTGGCGGCCGTCGGTGTACAAAGTGTTCTTCTGCCTTTTCAGGTTCGATTTCTAGATTACCGTGACAGGTCTCCATCTACCGTAACCCTCATGTTTTTCTTACAGTATCTCCGCGTTGTTGATTAGCACGGCGGCGCTCATCTATTCACATGTTGAAGAGTGGGCCTACATTGAGGCGTTATATTTTTGTTTTATAAGGTAAAATCACTTCGATTTTTCGTTACTATTACCGTATTACACCGTTACCGTAATATGTGATAGTTTTACCGTAACGACACCCTTTACAGTTTTGCAACGATCGGCTTCGGCGATTATGTGTCGAACCAGAAGGACGTCACAAAATACTATGTATCGAGAACCAGGAAGAGACGTCACAAATAACGGCGGACCTTGTACTCGGTGGGTGACTGTCTCGGAAATCGTACCGAATCGATAGCGTGTGTTGACGTCAAATTACCCTTTGCCAGAGTTCTAAAAACTTCGCATTGGCCGCATTGGTGGTTTGTTGTTCTATTGTTCTATTCAACGTGTCGTCGATAGTCGTACGGTAGGTTGATTAGTCTGGGAATTCACATCGACCAATTCTCATACGGCTAGGGAATGACCTGTTTTCAGGCAGTTTTTGAACTTTATGATCAAGAAAATGGATGTGAAAGGAACTATTTGTTGTTTGAGAAGAAGCGAGATACATGCGAGATTGGAATTCGCGGACCGGCCTAAAGGTAGGACTTTTGGAGCTTCTTCCGATTTGTTTATCAAATGTTCATTCGAGCAGCTTTTATTAAATCAATTATTATTTCATGAGTGCTGCAGTTGTTCTCGATTTTCACGCTCGCTTCACTCGTAGATGTACGAGCTTATTGACTCTTCTCGGAAGGAGAGCTGTAAGGGAGACGGTGTTGAACTGTTTTGATAATTGAAAAAAGGGCTATCGATGGTGGGATGTAAGGCGGAATTGCGTGTTAGCTCAGCTGCGCGGTGACTGAAATGCTGTTCACACCGGCACGGTTAGGAGGATCGATTCTGAGCTAGGCGAATCAGGAATACCATGCTTCTGGGACATTCATTTCAGGTTTTTCTATACCAGATTGGTCTCCCGACAATTTGCGGTACCATCCCTTTCTGCAGCTTCACACCTTCCACTGAACTTACTTGTGTTTGTTTTTCTGCCGTTCGAGATTGATGGGTGGCCAAAATGCATATACTCACGGACTACACCCGTTTCGACAAAGTCGTCGACATTGCGAGGCTCAGGGATAATACCGTTTGTCGCGAGAGTCCACCCCTAAACAAAGCGCGAATCAGGTCAGTAAGAATTAAAAACAGAAATCAAAGAATAAAAGAATTCTTACTGACTCGCGACTCTGTGTAGAGGGCGGATACTCCCCGGCAGCAAACGGCTGCCCCTGGGACTTCGGAGAGAGATTTTGTCGGACAACGTTAGGGCCGAGGAATAAGTGTTCCACCTAAAATTCAACTCGAACAGGACAGAACAAAAAAACAAAAAACACAAATAAGAACAGAAATGGCCAGAGGAAGGTAAAGAGAGAGCTGGAGGCTATAAAAAAAAAAAAAACAAAAAAAAACCTATCCAACCTAGTGCTTCCTTTCAGTATAGTGGAGGAACAAAACCACACTCGATAGAAGGGCAAAGGTGCTGCATAAGAAAGTGTTTCGACGAAGAACGGACATCGCAAACAACCAAGATAGCAATGACAATATGGAACAAAGACCTTATTGGACCTCGCCTCATTCAAATGTCGGTTGGTTTTCCTCTCTTTCCTCGGGACCTCCGCTCCTTCGCTCGCACCTTCCAGTGCATCACTGCCACCACGAATGATATGTTCCTAGAGTAGGCTTCAGTGTAAGGTGTTTTTACTATAGGCGCTAGGGCGCACCCCAAACACAGAGGTCTATCAAACCACGACATTGGCAAACAATGTAGATCAACTCCTAGCAAAGAATAACGAGCTTTGTTGAGAAGGGTTGGTTTTCCGTATGAGAACTTCCTTATAAGTAGATTTTCTGGGCGTCAGGGACAGACAAAACCTACACACATACCCAAAAAACGCCGACAAACCGAAAGTCGCTGATGGTTACGTATGAGAGAGTGGATCTTGCTGTGGCTTTGAGATATGCGGTAGATTCAATTTTGCGATTAAAGTATTAACTACTAGCCGGTCGCACAGGTGAAATGAATGGTGAGGGATTCATGTTATCGTGGGGATAAGGGGAATGGGGGCGGGTTACTTTCACTGTAATCCCGAATACGTTTTCAGAGGAATGCAAGGGGTGGGATCTGATAGACATTTTCTTTCTTCTTTTAATCAATATGCAATCACTCGCACGGCGATTTTAGATGGAATTCGAGACGGAATTCGGGTAATGATTTGTTGGTCCGAATCAATACTAATGGAGGCAAGTCAGTCAATTTAGAGTGGCGTAAAGAGAGTGGATGAAAAAGAAAAGTCGGAGAGGTCAGCGGGACGCGGTTCTATCGGGAACTTCTTAGGGAGTGGTTTGGGCTCGCGCGGTAAATTTTAATTTGGCAAACGGGACAGTTTGACATTGTGTGTGTATTTGAATTGAGTGAGTTCCTCACATTTAAGAAAACATGGTGCATTCAGGCAAACATAGATTGAGTTAGTATGATTCCTAGGGCGGGTGATCATGTATTACTGTTTAAAGTATTACGAGATTCGGGAGTGAAGGTTTTTCAATTCGCTCAATAAAGTGAATTGGTGGGACTACTAATCTAACGAAGTAAAGTGAGACGCGGGGATTGACACAGGTTACAGATTTGATAAGGTAGGCCATTGGAAGTGCTTCTTAGTTCGTAAGCAGCGTTTCGGTGGGTAGGCACAGCAAGCGCGCACATTTAGTCAAAAGGTTTTCTGCCCGCTGTTCTAAGGATCAGTGATTTCAGTTCAGTAATACTGAAGGAGGCGGATGTCCATCTTATTTGAACAGAATATCGGTTTCTTGCGTAGGTTACCCGTAAAAGGGCAGGAGGTTGCTTTGCAGACGCCAATATCCTAGAGTTTTCTTTTTGCACATCTGGGGATCGGTACCCCTCAACTTCTCTCACCATCAATCTAGGCATTGATTTATGTTTGTAAGTTTTGGTTCGAAAACCCGACCCGCGTGCGGTGACATCCGGCACACCCACGAACTCCTTACTTATCGGCTCGACTGTTTTCTCAGCGATCGGTCTTTTCAAGAGCCTGCATCCACCTCCTGCAGCGCACCAGCACCCCGGAATTCGTATATCTTGACTTTGCTTACATTATGCAAACTTGACAATAAGATGGTTGCTGCCTCACTGCTTCACCCCCCCAATCCAAGCGCTGTCTCCCCACTACTCCCTGATGACGAACCTGGGGCTACACGGAGGCAGTGAGGCCAAACGTGGAATCTTTCATTGGAACTGCCTTCCGGAAAAAAGGCAGCAACAACTAGCCAAAAATCTTCAAGTGCGGTGAGTTCAAATATGTCAAGCCCTTTACTCCATCCTCTCCCCCCTTTCCCGCATAAACAGCTTTCAAAGTGATAATCATGACAAATACTGATGATGGGCATTGCCGTTAACCTTCTACGTGTTGATCTATGTGAAAAGAAACAATCCTCACGACATTGCTGGACTAAGTGGTGGTTGGCCATGTAAGTCGCATGCGTTATTAAACTCAGCAAGACTCGGCCTTTCATGCACTACGCGAGGCGAAAAATAGGCTACTTAGCGGTCGGTCTGGTGGCGATTCTTCAGAAGAGAGGGAGCTACGACTTATTATTTTTATCTATGCACTCCGAAACGGTACATGCGCAATTGTCTGGGGCGCCGCCATTTACGTTAAAGGAATCTTCCACGGAAAGACTGCTTATCCTTTCCTTGTGTACAGGTGTTGGGCATGGTCATTGAAGACCATATGCAAAGTTCAGAGCGAAAATGATGAAACCCCCAAGAGAAACAGCCCTTGGAAAGACCCATCTGTGGGACCGGATTGGACCAGTAGGCGGGACCGGAAGTGCTTCTGTGACGAAGTGTGGGAAGGGTCCAACATGAATCCTGTTCACGTTCACGCTTTTGACACGTTTGCACGTGTTGACTCCACGCCGCTAACAGTTGTGGAAGTTTTACAGCGGGAATTCAAAATTTTCATAGTCGAACTGGTTATCATAATTATTATCAAAACCATCGCCTATGTTCCGTTCTTTTTGCTATCTTCATGAAGCAAGGGGCCTAAGGTATCGTTTTTTTGTAGGAATGGAGGCGATGTTTTTCCGTGGAAGATTCCTTCAAGTTGAAGTTGTGTTCAGATAAAGCTATCGTACAAAGATAAAAATATAAGACGCAGCTCAATGGGCCAAGACCCCTGTTTGTATCACTCCACACTGCATCACCGGTTCTGCTTTCGGTTCGTTCTCCACCGATGTCGATCCTTTGCTTCGTGTCGCGGCGCCTCTTGCCATTACCCTGAACTTCCCTGTTCAGAAAGGCACACGACACAGGTTACGAAGCTCCTTTATACAAGCATGCGCAATTTTCGAGGTATAACCGAGTGATCTTACAGTGTAAGCTGAAGGATCGCGTGATTTTTTTGCTGCTCGCTGATCATGCGTTACTTCTGAGACACTCGCTGAACTACTGCCTAACTTGTGAAGAATTCTTCTGTCTAGTGTATAGGAACGCCTTATTATGCAGTGCCATCACTATATGGCATCATCGTTCAGTTGGATCAACTTACGACTAAGCACAATAAGCGCTTTAGCTGAATGCAATCAGCAACCTCGTTACTCCGGGCAACGACAATGATTTTCGCCTCAGAATACCCTCATTTTCACGAGTTTGCTGGGCAAACGTGTGAGATTGCGGCATTTGGATGGGAAAATCGGGAACTTGTAGCCACAAATTCGAAACACTCGAGAAATTGTAGTGGGGAATTCCTCGAATAGATCGGTCGCCCGCGATGGCAGAACTTCGGGTATGTCGATCAAGCTATTGCGATTTTCCCTCTTGGGGATCTAGAGTTCAATCAGGAAGAAGTCGAAGTAGAGCTTCACCACTGTTTCGGTCATGTATAATATTCAGGAATAATCTGTACCATAGAGCTTACGCAAGCTTAGGCACGCTTACCACGCGAGCGGTCCGGGGATCAAATCCTGGGTCGTGAGTCGCCCGGGCCAACCAAGCCTTCCATCCCTCCGGGGTCGGTTAATTGGTACCAGACTTGTCTGGGAGGATAAAAACACTGACTTGTACATCGGCTGGCCCCGCAAGTCATTGTATAGGCCACATCGCATTCAAACGCCACTACGAATGTACAAATGGAAGTAGAATGCGTGCCGCATCCCAAAAAGGGATTGATCAACGGCAAATGCTTTAT